TTTTTAAAAGATTCCCGGTATTCTCGGCCCGGGCCTTTTCAAGGGGTCCCCCGGGCCCTTGGCTCCCTTTTAGGGAGTGTTGAGACCTAATTTCCCCCCTGGGAGGAGGCACAAGTCCCTCCTCACTTTGGAAACCCTACCCCCCCGGGGCTAGCCACAAGCTAGGCCCTTGGTCTCCCCCCCGCCCAGGGGCTAAATGGGAAGGCAGTTTGCAGCGCAAGCTGGGTAGGCACCTCCCCTGCCCTGAAGGGCGAGGCATGGTGTCGATGAGCATAGAAATTTTGCACTTAGCTAAGTATTTTGTAAGCAATTTAAAGTGGGATAATAACTAGTGTGTTATTGTGGAAGTGGTAGAAGTAATGTGTAATTGTGCAGCAATATTAAAGATTTGCCCCATCATGAGGAAATACGTCATTAGAGTGAGCTGGTATTGTTTTGGAGCTTACCGTGTGGGGAAAAAAAAGAAAAAAGTATCGGTCCCCGGGGGGGACGGGTGAGTTGATTAAATTTGAGGGTGTAAGTAGTTGCCTTGGTCTTCTTAAGGTAATTACGGGGTTTGAGGGGGGGGCTTGGGGGGTTTTTTTTGGGAAAGAAAAAGAGAACGCAAAGCGTAAAGCAAAATTAAAGAGAAAAAAAAAGGAAAATGTTGAATTAATTTTTACTCCAGTGGGTTCGGTTTTTCAATGTTTAAAATAAAAATGAACTATCAGTGGACTTAAAGGGGTTTAACTACAAACATTTTTTTCTGTTAAGGCAATCATACAAAAAATTTTGTTTTCCCGCAGCTGCGAAAATCTCCTTTTTCCAGGTTCATGAAGAGGTCAGGGGAAAAGTTTCACTTCATCTGTGACTACCTCGCATCTAATTATTGGGGTTAAGTGTGAAGACCATATGCGCTTTAAAAAAAAAGCTTTACTAGGGTAGAGCTTTTTCACTCAGTTTTACACCAGCTTTTTTGTTATTCTAGCACCGGTCTTTCTTATGAACTTGTATAGCTTTTTCAAGCTTCAAAAACGAAGTCTTTATATCTTATGTATTAACAAACTTCAAGACGGTTTGATTTTTTGTTTCTGTATTTCGATCTTCAGTCGAATCTGCGGGTTATCTTCTATTCCCCGCCTTCAAGGGGGGGGTTTTTAGTCTTCTCCTATTGCACAGCAGCCTACCCTCATGTGATTTGTCAATTATCTTCCGTTCCAGAGTCTTCAAAAGGAGGAATATTTAGTTGCCCTAAATATTCCCGGCCTAAAGACGAGCTGTGAATTTTGTTATAGGGATTGATTTTTTAATGTTTTCAGCCCAGCCCCTTTAAAGTGTTGGCAATTTTGCATATTGTAGTGAATTCTAAACTACAAGTAAACGACCAGTTTTCATGCTGATGTGATTACATTTACATTAATGATCCTCTGAGGTGAAATAATCTGAAAAAATAATTTGTTTTACCTTCGGAAACCTGTGTTTGTATGTTTGCCTCCTGAGCATACTCGTATTTATTTTTAAACCTGTGTATGGATTCCGCCTCCACTACTACTTTAATAACGTCATTGTACTTTCTTACTATACCCTCTGCTTTACTGGCATCTTTCAATTCAGTTTGTGCCTCCGTGTTCCTGTTTCCCACCCTTAGTAGTCTTTCCCTGTTCACCCAATTAAGTTGTTTAACTATCTTGTTCGTGATAATTGTTTCTTCCCCGGTTCTTCTATCCTCTAATGTCATCAGGTTGAAGTCTTTCAGTCTCTTCTCATAATTCACTCCTTTTACCTCGAGGACTAGACTCTATGCGAGACTGTCCACTTTTTCTAGGTTCTCGATATTTTTGATCAGGTACTGAATTCCATGGTGAGTTTGATGTGTGTCGCATATAGGATCATGAATGAGTCCTTGTTGAGGCTTCAAAAATCTAACCTTGGATTTATCAATCTTGTATATGCCTTGGAAGTTATACGGTTGAGGTGTTCCACAGTGATGTTCCATGTTATAGAGACCTTCGGGATACGTACTCTTCCAACCCCAATCTCTACTCCGGTTCTGATCATTGGCTGGGAATGAATTCTAGCAGCCACATGTTTGACCAACCCACCAGTATGCCAAGGTCATATTGCAACCTTTCCATGTTATTCTCATTTGATATATTCCGCATATACGTCACATTATGGAAGAAATAAAAGTGTACAAAAGATGCAATATAGCAACAAATAAATGTTCCCAAACGACGCTATTTACAGAAAGCTTTCATGCAACACTAACAATGTCTGGCAAACTAAATCATACACAACAGACATGTAAAAATCAAAGTTCATATAACCTTTTCCTTAAAAATCCACACCTCTTAGTCCTGCAAAGCCCTGGGCAAGGCGTTTTCATTCACTTACCAAAGCCATACTCGGGTTCGATTTTGCCCACATGCTCGAGCAAGCACTCGAAAAAGTCGGCGTGTATCTCCTTCATGGTCAAGTAGTACTCGTTGTCTTCGGACCAGCCGGCATAGTGACGCATTCTCTGCGGACACAGGAAGACGTCAGAGTGCAGACATGAGAACGGAAACGTTCTTGGGATGCTCTCAGAACACACACATGAACAAGTATATTCCTTTAATGTGCATAAACACTTAAAATAATGCTGATAAATTGATACTTTATGTAGCGTAGTCATTAGTGGTACAACATTTCCTCCACGAAAGGCATTTATGAAGTACATGAAGATATTATTCCATTACGTGTTATTGTGGGCATTACTCATTTATTAAGTATAAAATGGTACTCCCATTCACATTCTTAAAATATTGATAAACGAAGTCATCAGCGACGATAATCATGTATTCCAATAAAAGTTAAAAGTTCAGTATCAAGTGAAGCCCATTGAGACTCAGTCTTACGTCCTTTACTGTTTACGATATACGCTTGACCTACCAGGGGTGAGGCAGTAAAGAGTCACATCTGACATTCGATATTCACTGATGACTCAAAGAAATTGGGGAGAACACACACTGAAATATACTGCAAGAAACCACAAGATTCTCTAAACAGGTTGCATGAGAGGTAAACTTCAAAGCACAACACACACGCACGCACACACACACACACACACACACACACACACACACACACACACACACACACACACACACACACACACCACAAACACACACATATATATATATACACACACACACACACGCACACACACACACACACGCACACACACACACACACACACATATATATATATACACACACACACACGCACACACACACACACACGCCACACGCACACACACACACACATACACATACACACATATACACGCACACACACACACACCACACACACACACACACATACACACACACACACACACCCCACACCACACACACACACTCACACACACACACACACACACACACACACACACACACACACACACACACACACTCACTACACTTTCTCCCCCCCCTCACATTTCTCTCTCTCCCCCTTGGTCTTATCCCTCACCCCTATACTCTCTCCTCTCTCTCCCTCTTTCTACCCTTTCTCTCTCCTCTCTCTCCCTCTTTCTACCCTTTCTCTCTCCTCTCTCTCTCTACCCTTTCTCTCCCCCCACACCCCCCCCTCCTCTAGCCTTCTGTCTGCGGTAAAAAAAAAAAAAAAAAAAAAAAAAAAAAAAAAAAAAAAAAATATGGGTGGCCTTAGAGGACGGAAAACCAGAGATCTGGTAGAAGAACCAGGGAGGAAAGACTGGGAGTTAGAGCTCCAAAAAAGGGAGGAAGAGTGGGGAAGGAAGATAGTAGAGCTTGGTAAGAAAATGGAGGAGCGGATAGCTGAAGAGTGCAGGAAGTGGGAAGTACAGGCCTTAGCAGCAGAAGCTAGGATACAGTGCTTAGAAGAGAAACTGCAAAGCCTGAAACAGATTAGAGAGACAAATGACAATTCAGACGTGACATCAGGAAATTCAAGCAGCGCAGACCAAAGGGGGGGGGGAAGCAACAACGGAGCTGCCGAAAAGGAAGGCCCTATCAAACCCACTGGGCCAGGGAAATTTTGGACCTTAAAGGGGTTTTTGGGGAAGAATCTGCCCAATAGGGAATCGACCAAGCCCGGCCCCCGTGGGGAGATTACCCCACTTTTCAACCACTGACACTGACACGATCGGGATCCGGCCCCACGTCGAATTCTGCCAAAGGGGACCAAGGTAAAGATTACACGAGGAAGCTGTTGTATTATTTTGATGCTTCCGGTGTGAGTGTTGCTGCAATGAGTGTTGCACACAGTGTGAATGTTGCTGCACAGTGTGAGTGTTGGTGCAGTGTGCGGGTGTTGCTGCACAGTGTGAGTGTTTGGTGCAGAGTGGTGCTACACAGTGTGAGTGTCCGTCAAAAAGTGAGTGGGTTGCACTGTGTGAGTTACCGTGAAGAGTGAGTGGTGCGGCACATGTGAGTCCGTGCAGAGTTAGTGGCTACACAGTGTGAGTGTCCGTGAAGAGTGAGTGGTGGTGCACAGGGGTGTGTCCGTGAAGAGTGAGTTGCTGCACAATGTGAGTGTCCTGTAGAGTAAGTGGTGTTGCACAGTGTGAGTGTTGTTGCAGAGAGTGGTGTTGCTGCACAGTGTGAGTGTCCGTGAGTGAGGGGTGCTACACAGTGTGATTTTACGTGAGATGATGTTGCTGCACAGTGTGAGGGTCCGTAAAGATTGAGTGGTACTGCACAGTGTAAGTGTTGTTACAGAGAGTGGGTGTTGCTGCACAGTGTGAGTGTTGTTACAAAGAATGGTATACCGCCCAGTGTGAGTGTTGTTGCAGAAAGTGAGGGGTGCTGCACATTGAGTGTTGTTCAGAGGGGTGCTGCACATTGTGAGTGTTGTTGCAAAGAGTGAGTGGTGCTGCACAGTATGAGTGTTGTTGCAAAGAGTGAGTGGTGCTGCACAGTGTGAGTGTTGTTGCAGAGTGGTGTTGCACAGTGTGAGTGTTGTTACAGAGAGTGAGTGGTGCTGCACAGTGTGAGTGTTGTTACAGAGAGTGGGTGTTGCTGCACAGTGGTGAATGATTACTACGCTTTTCTAATTTTTAGTTTTCATAATAAATAATTATTTTTACTTATCATTACTGCTGATCATAATAAGAGATTTTAGGTAATTATATGTTGTTTATGTTATGATTACACATGAAGGGAGATTACACTGAGATATTTTGTGGTTAATTGCGTTTTATACTGTAGATTTTAAATTACTTGTGATTTTTTATTATTATTATTATTATTATTATTATTATTATTATTATTATTATTATTATTATTATTATTATTATTATTATTATTATTATTATTATTATTAAATTATTTTATGACTAGTAGCTTTAGTAGTAGCGGTAGTAGTAATATTGTTATTAAAGAAATAGTAATGGTAACGGCAGCATTGAGCGTAGTATTTATTTTTATTATTAAAGATTCGCCGGTATTCTCCCGGCCCGGGCCTTTTCCAAGTGGTGGCCCGGCCTTGGCTCCCTCTTTAGGGAGTGTCTGAGACCTAAGTCTCCCATGGGAGGAGGCACAAGTACCTCCTCATCTTTGGAACCTACTGTCCCCAGGCCTAGCCACAAGCTAGGCCTCTCTGGTCTGCCATCCCCGCCCCAGGGGGCTAATGGGAATGGCAGTCTTGCGAGCTGCAAGCTCGGGCTCAGGCACCTACCCTGCCCTAGAAGGGCGAGGCATGGTGTCGATCGAGCATAGTAATTGCACAATTAGCTTAAGTAGTATTAGTATTAGCAATATTAACAGTAGGATAATAACAGTAGTAGTAGTTATTGTGGAAGTGGTAGAAGTAATTGTAGTAATTGTAGCAGCAATATTAACGTATTTGCCCTCATCATGAGGAAATACAGTCATTAGAGTGAGCTGGTGATTGTATTAGTGAGCTTACCCGTGTGGGGAATAATAAAGAAAAAGTATCGGTCCAGCGGGGTGACTGGGTGAGTTGATTACATAGAGGGGCTGTAAGTAGTTGCCTTGGATCATTCTTAAGGTAATTACTGAGTTAGATGGGGTGGCTTGGTGGGTTATTTTTAGGGAAAGAGAGAGAACGACAAAGCGTACAAGTACAACATTAAAGAGAAACAAAAAGGCAAAAATGTTGAAATTATATTACTCACTGTGGGTTCGGTGTCAATGCTTAAAGTAAAATGAACTATCAGTGAGACTTAAAGTTAACTCACAATACATTTTATCTCAGTTAAGGCAATCATACAAAAATCTTGTTCGCCCTCGCAGCTGTCGAAGATCTCCTTTTTCCAGGTCTCATGAAGAAGAGTCAGGGGAAAGATGTTCACTTCATCTGTGCACATCACCTCGCATCTAATTATTGAATCTAAGTGTGAAGACACATAGTGCAGCTTGAGAGATAAAGCTTCACTCAGGGTAGAGCTTTATCACTCAGTTGTACATCCCAGCTTTTTATGTTATTCTAGCACCCTGGTCTCTTCTTATGAACGTTGTATAGCTTTGTCAAGCTTTCAAAATCGAAGTCTATGATATCTTATGTATTACACAATCTTCAAGACGAGTTTGATTTGTTGTCTTCTGTATTTCGATCTTCAAGTCGAATCTGCGTGGTTATCTTCAGTATTCCACAGCCTTCAAGGTGAGTCTGTCTAGTCATTCTCCATATTGCACAGCAGCCTACACCGTACATAGTGAGTTTGTACAAGTTATCTTCCGGTTCCAGAGTCTTCAGAAAAGGAGAGAATATTTAGTTGCCCTAAGTATTCCACAGCCTCAAAGACGAGTCTGTGAAGTTATGTTATAGGCAATATGATTTCATTAATGTTTTCAGCCGCCGAGCATTAATGTGTTGGCAATTTTGCACTCATTGTAGTGAATTCTAAACTACAAGTAAACGACCAGTTTTCATGCTGATGTGATTACATTTACATTAATGATCCTCTGAGGTGAAATAATCTGAAAAAATAATTTGTTTTACCTTCGGAAACCTGTGTTTGTATGTTTGCCTCCTGAGCATACTCGTATTTATTTTTAAACCTGTGTATGGATTCCGCCTCCACTACTACTTTAATAACGTCATTGTACTTTCTTACTATACCCTCTGCTTTACTGGCATCTTTCAATTCAGTTTGTGCCTCCGTGTTCCTGTTTCCCACCCTTAGTAGTCTTTCCCTGTTCACGCCAATAAGTTGTTTAACTATCTTTTCGTGATAATTTGGTTTCTTCCCCCCGGTTCTTCTATCCCCCTAATGTCATCAGGTTGAAGTCTTTCAGTCTCTTCTCATAATTCACTCCTTTTACCTCGAGGACTAGACTCTATGCGAGACTGTCCACTTTTTCTGGGTTTCTCGATATTTTTGATCAGTACGAATTCCAGGTGATTTGATGTGTGTCGCATATAGGATCATGAATGAGTCCTTGTTGAGGCTTCAAAAATCTAACCTTGGATTTATCAACTTGTATATTCCTTTGGGAAAGTTATACGGTTAAAGGTGTTCCACAGTGATGTTC